CTCATTCCTTTTTGGAAAGAGTTTAGATGGGATGGGGAACGATATTTGAAGCTTTCTGATCCAATGTAAATGAATCCTGTGGTGGGTAAATAATTTTCCTCCCTCCTTTGCTCTCCTGGGGTAGTTTGATGAATAATGCTTCTCAAATAAGTTTATAAATATTCCCCTAGAGGTAAGAAGAGTATTAAGCTCATAGCAGGTGTGCCATTAATGCTTTAGTGTGTAGGGTAGAGCAAAGAGGAAAGAAATCATCAAAACTTTCCAGTTTCATTGAATTTTCTGGAATGTTTTGAAGGCGACAGCTGGGAACAAAATACTGGGGGTAGCACTGATGAAGTGTGGGTACAGCCTCACATGATCAAGTCAGGCCATTTCTTTAATGTAGGAGCTTTTTTTTGGATGAGTGGTAGGATGGGGTTTATAGTTCGTTTTGCTGCCAATTATAGTATGTGCTTATATTAAGTAACTCAGAAAGAAGCTTAATCAATCTCACAAAAAAATTTTAAAAAATGTGTTCCCTGCCTATCTCCCATTAGCTGAAAATCCAGTTCACAAACTATCCAACAGTAGTCTAAAAGCCTTCTTTAATAATAAATATCTTTAATAAAAAATATTCATTCTCTTTAGATGCTATTGTAATTTGATCTTCAAATGTCATGCTTTTCAGTATAGTCTGTTACATTTTACCTGTGAATAACTCAATTTTGGCTTTAGTTTCTTTCTCTGATTGGCCTGAATGTCCCCATACTTTTCATCAAATGCCTCCATAATAGTAAGGAAATTTCTTACTGCCACAGTGCCACCTACTGGTAGGTCAACATAGAAGCAAGCTAGCAGTAGTTTGACCCACAGATTTGGAGAGTCCTTCTGAGCTTTGGTTTTATAAAATGCCAATTTCCTTGTCATTTTGAGAAAATATCGCTTCTCTTGACAGCTATTAAGTCTCTTGCTGTGGCGTAAAGTCAGCAAGTTATAATTTAAAAAACGCTCTTATTTCTTACTGTTACCTTAAATTGGCCCTGACTTCACCGACTTTGATTTTCTCTGTCCTATAACTGTAGCAAGGGCTCCAGACTGTGTGGGCAAGGGTTTGGATCTGGCAAAAATAACTTGGGGAGCGTCCAAAGATCCTGAAAAATGTAAAAAAAAATCCCCACTTAACACTTTATTTAATCTTGGCTGAAAGGACAAGAGGTCAAATCTAAAATTAGACTTTAGGGGATCATCATTCTCCCCAATGCTGGCGTGCCATTTGCAGCCAAACATCAAATCCATCCTCTCTCTCTTGCTTTCTAACAGCACTAAAAGTGGGTAGTAGATCCAAATTCTTGTCCCTTTGACTCTGGGGAGAGAAGAACGTTTTGGGAGCAATAAAAGGTATAAGACACTAGGGCAAGCATCTCAAGAGTTTATTTTTATTATTAATTTATTATACTCCAAATCCACCCGGGATCTCCAACAACTATACAACGCATGTGAAAAGAACAAGAATCTGACAGTGAAAATAGGTCACTCTGCTGAGAGCTGCCAGGCAAATAATTTCATTTGAAAGTCAAAGTGATTTCTAGATCCTTAGGGTTTCGGCTCCACTGGGTTTACTTTATATTAAAATAAGTTCCTTTCTCTTGTTGTCTCACTTAGAGACAACGAAGTGGGCAGGCAGAGGCACACTGACATGCTGCTGCCTTGTCCCCACGCAAAGAGCATAAAGCTACCCTGAATTTTACCAGGGTCCAAAAAGAAAAATGCTTAACGCGGGACACTGCTTCTCACTCCTTGTAAATGTAATCCAGCATTGGTGTTCAAAAGGTGGTATGGTCCCTTCCTCCAACTATAGATCTACAAGAGCTTAAAAAAAAAAAAAAAAGCTGGGCAGAGTGCATATAGAGGCTGGGCTCCAGGACAGGAAAAGCTTAGGCATAAGCTAAGCGGCTGGGATGAGGGCAGCTGGTATGGCTTCAGGCCCTACAACAATGGTAGTTTACACCATCAAATCAGCATGAGAGAAATGCCAGTTATCTAATCTGTCGCTCTCTGCTATTTTAGTTCACCATCACCACTTCAGACCTCAAGAAGAACACCATGGTTATAAAGAAGGAAGGCCAATGGCTTTGGCTTTGAGCCAAAGGCCCTCACTCCAGCTTCCTTCTCAAATTTCCAAATTTGCTGACTCTACACCTTCCCCTTCTATAGCAAACACAGAATATATAGCCTGAGGTAGGGAAGTCAAGGAAAGTTAACACTCATGCAGCATTCCAGGCACTCTGCTAAGAGCTTTCACATTCACTACCTCATTTAATGTTCATATAACAAGAATGCCACTAGGCCACCATCAGCGGGAAAGGACTGACTTGCTTTTCAACAGTGCCCTGGGATGAACCACTATCTCATTCAGACTACCTGACAGACAAGGTCGCACAGCTTGAAGGCCTGGTTGGGCTAGACTTAAAGAAGGGTCAAGGGGTCAGGAAGCAGACTTTTGCTATATTCACTGACTCAATAACTGAGTTAACCAGACCAGACAGGGGCTAAATACCTTTCATAGTCAGTTCAGTGATTCCTATACACGCGAAACTTCCCAGCTCTCAGAGAGATGTGTAAACGTTTTGACTTATTAGGGGTTGTTCTTCCTTCTTGTGGGTTTAAAGAAAAATGTTTTTAATAGCAACCTAACCTTCTCCCTGTTAAAGGACATGTTTCTAAACCCCTTGAACAACACCTTTAAATCTATGTGTAATAAAGAGAAACATAATTTGTAGGTAAACACTGAAGTGCCAGGTAGTTATTTACTAGCTCTATAAATGACTCTAACAGGGTTAGTTATTATTATGTTGCTAAGGTAAAACATTTATTGGGAAGTATGGAAAATGCCTGAACCTTGCTACATCATGTTCATCAGCATTTCTTTAAGTATCAGGAACACCAGGAAAGTCATAGAAGAGGAACAAATTCAAAGGACTTTAGAGGCCCAGAGTCATTTGGAGACAACAGCAGTAAACAGCAGGCTACCTAAACGAGGTGAGAAGAATAATGCACTTACCGTAAGGTAGAAGCAGGGAGAAAAGATAGATATTAGAAGCCAGGGAGAAGTACAACTCCTCCTTGCTCTGTGGTTTTATACTGACACCAAATTCAGTACAACTGTTACAAAAACTTCTAAGTACCGGCAACAGTCGGTAAACACTAATTCATGATCAAGACGCTGAAAGGATGACCCACCTGTCCGTCAAATTTCCAACTTGCTCATCCAGAGTGTATGCAGAGAGTTCAAGTCCATACTTAATGTATCAATTAGACACACAAATGAAATACGCAGGTTTCCTGGATCTCCTAAGCTTTGTAAGCCTCTCCAGCCTCAGCGAATTTGAAGAGCTACAGGGGCTCTAAAAGCTGTCTCTCCTGGAAACCCTTCCAACTAGTCCATGGTTCTCTTAGCCACTCACTTCTCAGGCCATAAGAGTTCCAAGGTGGAAATTTCACTTCCTTAAAAATAACTACCATCTTCTAGTAATTCTTTTTTGGGGGAAAGGGGGGTTTATATTCCCATCAAATATTTCTGGAATTCAGGTTCGAAGAGTGTAAGTGGAAAACAAAATCTTTATACTCTTACCATATTATTACCTGACTTACACACACACACACACACACACACACACACACCCTTGCACCCTGCCCTTAAGCTCCTCGATGGCTCCCTACTGCTCTCAAGAACAAGTTCCCTCCCCGGCGCATAGGCTGGCCCTGCTACCTCTACAGCCTATTCTCTTGCCACTCCCGGCTCAGACCCCAGTCCTCAGCATGAGGGCTCCCCGAACACAGCACCTTTTCACCACCCGCCCCCTTCCCTCAACTGGCCTTTGCCCACATTGTTCCCTCTTCCTGGAACTCCTTCCACCCCACACCTCCCCTCTCCTGGCTGACCTGTCTACAGTCAAACTCCAGCTTAGATGCTTCTTCCTCTAGGAAGTCCTCCCCAATCCCTAAAGAGCCAGGGTCAGGTTGGCCCTTGGGTTCAAATACTGCTCCACCATTCACTAGCTGTGAGATTTGAGATAACGTTTCATAATCTGTCTGTGCCTTTATTTCTTCAGCCGTAAAACGAGGACTACAGCTCCTATGTTATATGCATGTTTTGTGAACAAATGTAAAGCATTCAGAAGTGTGCCTGACACACAGCGATGCTCAGCCAAGGCTGTCTATTGTTATTCTCTGCATCCCCAGTGCCAGATATCCCTCCCCACCCCACATAGCAGCCTCCCGCTGACCTCCCTCTCTCCGAGCCTCTAGGTTCCCTGACAGCAGGGACTGTCTAGTTCACCCTTTACGCACCCCAGTGCCCAGCATGTTACTTTCTCCACAGGAGGTGCTCAAAAAAAAAAAACACTTGTTGAGTTGAATCCAAGTGGATTTGCTTTCAATCTTCTGATTACCTATTAGTGTATTTTTATGAATTATTACTCACAGAAAACTATCCCTGGACCAATGCTGCCTGACTTCTATGTTGAGAGGCTTGAGGTCCTCAGCAACTACCTGGCAACAGACTATGACATTAGCATGACAGGACGCAGATTAGACCACAGCTCCAGCTCTGCATGCATGGATCGTCTCCCACAGGCCCCTTGACTTTCTGAGCTTCTGTTTCCTCACGTGGAGGTGACAAAGCTATACCTCACAGGGCTGTGGTGAGGATTTAGTGTGAGATACTACATGTGGAAATACCACAGAAACAGTAAAACACCAGTCAAATACAGGCTTTTTACTAAATGCTGCAAATCTGATAACATTCTACCAGACGGGGAAATTTTGCCTACCCCAAACTAGTTCTGGAAAACCATTTCATCCTAAAATGTTGCTGTCATTTGGAAGAAGAGAGTAACAAAATGCCCACTTGCCAGTGCTCCAGAGGCCTGGATGCTTCGTTCTCTGAGCTGGAACTCTCTTCAGAGGCAGGAGAGAACTTGCTGGCCCAGACCCTGCCCGCTGTCCCACCTGGAACTGACCTGTGGAGCTGGTGATGGGCACAAAGGCTGCAGAGTTAAGGCTGCTCTGGAGTCCGTCCAGCTGCCCTTCTGTGGAGGACGCTCTGAAACACAAGCAGCTTGGTTAGACCTGCAGACAGAAAGGTCAGGTCAACTACAGCCCTGCAATGGCTCTGCCTCTTGCTTTTGGTGTTGCCACTCATTCCCTTTCTTCTTTCAAGTCAAATGTCGTCTTCTCAGAAAGAACTTCTAAGACCAACCTATCCCCTACTTCTGAAATGTTACATATTTTAAAATTTATTGTCCATCTCTCCCCATTGGAACACAGCTTCAAGAAAGCACGGGCTTTGATCACTACTGTGTCCCCAGTGCCTAAGCATTCAACAAATACTTACTGAATGAATAAATTAAGTTCCTGGTATTGACTTGGATAAATCATAAGTAAAGACATTAAAAAAAAAAAGTTTCATGTAGAGCAGTGATTCTCAACTGGGGGAGGGAGGGGGGCAGATTTTGCTTCCTCCCCCCACCCTCTCACAGGGGACACTTGGTGATGTTGAGATATCTGTGGTTGTCACAACTGCGGGGCCTATGGCATCCAGTGGGTAGAGGCCAGGAATGGTGCTAAGCCTTTCCTACGGTGCACTAGAAAGTGCCCCAAAACAAAGAATATTCTGGTCCAAGATGTCAACTGTGCCGAGGTTGAGAAGCCATATATACAGAGGCACCTCCCCTTGTGCCACCGTTGACAAGAGATAGGACAGAGTATATTAGATTCTTTGGGCACAGGTTCCCCAGCCACTTGTCTTAGAAGTTCTATGACTGGCCTGATGCCCTACAGACCATGCCAGGTCTCCCTGTTATAGGCTCTTACAGCTTTGTCATTCTTTCATTGCATTTACCAAAATTATAGAACCGTGTAACTGGTTGCTTAACAGCTGCCATCCTTGCTAGAATGTGCATTCCATGAAGACAGAGACTGCTTCAGTCTCATTCACTGTTGTATCCATAGCTCCTAATATTGCATTTTGCACATACTAGGTACTTAATAGATATTTTTTGAAGTAATCTCACCCACTGCCCCATTAATACACTTATTTGTTGGGCCCATCTACCTTGACTTTAGCTGACATGTAACAATTTTACCTGGAAGATTCAAGTTCTCATACTCAGTTCTTTATTTGTTGAGCAGTATCCAACCCAACCTTTAGTACCTTCACCCAACACTATTTTTCCATTTACTCACTCAAGCAAAAAATACTTATTAAGCGTTCCTGCGCTTGGTGCTAGTGAGGAGGTAGGCATTTGGCAAATCCATAAGATACAAACTGTGTGATAAATGCTATGGAGAAAAAGCACAAGGTGTTATGAGAGAATGAAACAGGGAACCCGATTTAGATGGTGAGGAGAAAGGGAGTTCCCTGGTGGCCTAGTGGTTAGGATTCAGGCTTTTACCGCCGCGGCCCAGGATCAACCCCTCCCTGGTCAGGGAACACAGATCCCCCAAGTCACGCTGCGCGGCCAAAAGAAAAAAAACCTCTTCAAAAAATAAATAAATAGGGTTTCCCTGGTGGCGCAGTGGTTAAGAATCCATCTGCCAATGCAAGGGCGGGTTCGAGCCCTGGTCCAGGAAGATCCCACATGCCGCAGAGCAACTAAGCCTGTGCGCCACAACTACTGAGCCTGCACTCTAGAGCTCCCATGCCACAACTACTGAGCCCGCGTGCCTAGAGCCTGTGCTCTGCAACAAGAGAAGCCACCGCAATGAGAAGCCCACGCACCGCAACGAAGAGTAGCCCCCGTTCGCCACAACTAGAGAAAGCCCGCGTGCAGCCAAAAATAAATAAATGAAAAATTTTAAATAAATAAATAAATGAAATTTTAACTAACTAAATAAAAACCATTAGTTGTGTACATGGTGAGGAGAGTGGTCAAGGATGGCCTGAGGAAATCGTGCTTCAGGCACGTCATGAAGTCAGGAGAAGCAGGCATTAGCCAAGAGCAGGGAACAGGAAAGAGCCTTTCACGGAGAAGAAATGTCCATATAATGATTCTGAGGCAGAAAGGGGCTTAGAATGTCCTGGGAGCCTTTAAAGCCCAGCAAAGTGTGTGCGTGTGTGGTGGTTAGTCAGGCAGTGTTTGCCAAACATGCCTGATGGGAATCACCTGGGCTCGCTTGTCAATCACACAGCTTTCCAGGCCCTTCACCTGGAGATTATGATTCAGTGGTCTGGGATAGGCCTTGAGAACTCAGGCTTTTTTTAGCTCCCCAGGTGCCCAGGTGATTCATATCACCAGAGAAGCCACGGAAACACTGACTGGTGAGTAGAGGAAGGTGGGATGGGAAGCGCTGGGAGAGGCTTAGGTGCCCAGGTGGTCCCTACACCCCTGATGGAGATGTGCCACTTGAGAACACACCCCAGCAGCGATGCAAGGATCACACTGTCTTACAGCCCTTCCCCTCTAGCGAGCCTCGATCTGGGCACTGCCCACTCCTTTCCACTTTCGCTTTGAGGACAGGGGAACCACAGAGGCAAAAAGGAGAGAAAGGAGCAGAGGGCTTTTTCCCTTTTCCCAAGCCTCAGCCTTGGAGAGCTACATCTGGAATGCTTATGCAATTTATTTAAGCCCCTTATGGACCAAAAAAATCCATCCAAAGCATCTGTAGGCCGATATTGGTGCTTCCAGGTCCAAGTGAAAAAGGAAAAGTTCTGGAGGGCCTAGGATGGGCTCTTTCCTTTACAAAAGTTAAAAAACCCAAAGGCCCATTCACTTGTGTAGGAGCAGCTAAGTCAAGAAAACTTACGGGGCTGATCTCAGTGTCCTGGAGGAAGCCCTAGTGTTAGCAGTAAAAAGGGAAGCAGGCAGGAGACATTTTGGAGGCAGTAGAATACGGGCAGGGAACAGAAAGCTTCCGGAGGCATGAGAAGAGTCCCTGGGGGTTTAGAGCTAGTGACTTCTTTCTCCTCTCCTCTCTGGAATTCCTCTCCCACCCTTCACCTTTATAGGCTTCCTCCTCTTCCTCACCCAAGATCTCCTGCTCCTGTGTCCCCTTTGTACCCAGTTCTACTCACCCTTCCATCCTCCTCCCTCCAGCAACTCCCACCACAGGCCTCAGGAGCCATTGCTGATTCCGACTTTGAACATTTCGAACGGTCCTACTGTTTCTTGCACGAGGTCCCCTTCTCCCCAGTGGAGGAGAAATGTGTCCACAGACGTCCAAGGGGAAACTCAGAGTAAATTTTTCCATAGAGACACTGGTACACAAAATGGTTTGGGTTTATGTTATTACAACTTTAGGCACATCATGGGTAAATATGCTTTTGCTCTGATAACATCATTTCCTTGGGAAAATATGTTCCAACTTCTGGACAAACCACTCCGAAATGAGAACTTTTAAAACATCGCTTGTGTAGAGCCTGTATGTTAATTTGCACTTGCTGATCTGCTTCTGCAATGATTCTTTGCTGCTTTCCTGAAAGTACTTGTGTTTTAGGAAGTATTTACATAGAAAGGTATGTATATGTCCCCTTGGTTGTTTCTTTTCTTTCTTTTTTATTTAAAAAATAAATTATTTATTTATTTATTTTTGGCTGTGTTGGGTCTGTTGCTGTGTGCTGGCTTTCTCTAGTTGTGGTGAGCGGGGGCTTCTCTTCCTTGTGGTGTTTGGGCTTCTCATTGCGGTGGCTTCTCTTGTTGCAGAGCACGGGCTCTAGGCACGCGGGCTTCAGTAGTTGTGGCACGTGGGCTCAGTAGTTGTGGTGCACGGCCTTAGTTGCTCTGCTGCATGTGGGATCTTCCAGGACCAGGGACTGATCCCGTGTCCCCTGCATCGGCAGGCGGATTCTTAACCACTGCGCCACCAGGGAAGTCCCCCCCTTGGTTGCTTCTAAGTCTGTTACTGGGCTTTGACATTAAGGTAACAGGACCTACGTCATAGGGCTGTTGAGGATTAAATAAGATGGTGGATGTAAAGCACATCCTAGTACAGTGTTGGGTTTTACATTAAGGGCTAAATAAACATTAACTATTACTAGTATTGTTATTTTTACTTAGGAATATTGACAATCTTTGCATTCACTATAAGCCTGTCTACATAAAAAACATTAAGTTGCATGCCTCATTGATTCTAATTCAGTATGGATTATTGGTGCTAACTGTAGGAGAATGACCACAGATATTCAGAACTTGCAACTTAACAGTGATTTGCTATTGAAGTCAAAAGGTAATTATTGGCAACCTACCAGTCAGAAATCAAAATCAGTCAAAATTACTCTTAAACTCCCTTTGGAAGAGAGGTCTCATTTGAGGTTGACAAGCTGTCTCTTGATAAAGCTAATACACATCTTTTTTCCCTGCCAGCATCAGAATTAATCACTGTTTCTTCAACTGTGCACCAAATGAAGCAGCTGGCTTGTCATATAGAATATGCATCTTTAAGCATGAGAATTACACACAGTACAGTGGGATGCTCTTCCTGTAAGAGAAGCATGCATCTCCCATCTTGTCCTGAGGGGAATATCAAGTAGAATCAGCCACTATCGAAATTGTATTTTTTTTTTCTCTCTGAATAGCTGAATGTGCAAAGTTAAATGTGTGTTGGATGCAGCTACATTACCTGTGGTGTTCTGATCACAGTACAAATGGAATACAAAGAGGTGGCTAAAGATGAATTCAGAAAAATGAGTTATAAAAGTATGCAGGGACTTCCCTGGTGATCCAGTGGGTAAGACTCCCCACTCCCAATGCATGGGGCCTGGGTTCGGTCAGGGAACTAGATTCCGCACGCATGCCACAACTAAGAGTCCCCATGTCACAACTAAGAGCCTGCAAGCCACAACTAGGACCTGGAGCAGCCAAAATAAATTAAAAAAAAAAAAAAGTTCAAGAGTTTTGCGGTGAGAAATACTGAAAAGATGGGACGAGAAAGGTGCTGTTAACTTTATATCACACAAAAGTTAGAGTTCAAACCAAGAAGAGTGCTAGGTATGACTATCTGATCCTGTAGTTTTCCTTAATTGTTATTCTCGGAAATGGTGCAAGTTCTAGGAGACGGAAAAGAGATGTAGTCAAAGGTTGAGTGTTAGAGGCTTACTACAATCTC